TCAGGTCTACATCAGCAATTAAATGTAATTATATATCTGGGATATAAGTATCCCAGAGATACTTATAGCCGAGTCTAAGCCGAGAAATCGTAACATCTATGAGTCTGTTAGTCTTACTGGATGATCCATACATGTACTCTTGCATGATTGTATTATGATAGATGGATTTATTAGAGTAGATTCTATTTTGCCTCAAATCAACATGGTTTTGCTGAAGTTCTAGCTGTATTATTATTATTCTCAGGGTGCTTATAGGCAATCCAAAGCTATAATCAACTCATTTGGAGGTAGATTAGTAGGCTAACTTATTAGCTTTATCATGCATTCGGAGGCCAATATAATGAAATATCTTCTCTTACAAATCATTAATAATTTCGGTATACATGTGTGTCTAGCCTCTGACACAAGCATGATACAATTGTGTCTTACAAAGCTGAACGCAATTAAGAATGCTAGTGAATCAATTTCAATTACTGTGTAAAGTATAGAGACTTACTCAAATGTAGATACATTAGAGTGAAATAAGTAAGAGAACAGTTGGGTGGAGTTAATATCACTTTGATATTATTTAAAGATCATGCAAGCTTCACAACAATTGCATTTATAGTTTGATATAATATTGCAAGTTTATTATAGCAGATTGTCTTATAGCTGGTTTACTTTTATGGAAATTGTATTATGCACCGAAGAAAAATAATTTAGAAATCACTGAAGTTTTGAATGCATAGTGCAAAGTTTTATTAATCATTAAGCTTTATACTTTTTGTTAACACACTTCGGAACTCATAGGATTATGTCTTAGATTCTAATTAGTTTTCCCCAAAAAAAATCTTCATCTAGAAATCCAACATTCTGCTTGTAACTAATTTTTTATGAATGTACTTTTTCCCTAGCATTATTATTATTATTATTATTATTATTATTATTATTATTATTATTGTCACAAATTATCCACATCGATACAAAACGGTTACAGAAGTTTTGACCGTTCAAAACCGTTTGAATATTTCAAACGACAACCGTTTGAATATTTCAAACGACAACCGTTTGAATATTTCAAATGACAACCGTTTGAGTATTTAAAATGACAACCGTTTGAATATTTAAAACGACAACCGTTTGAATATTTCAAACGACAACCGTTTGAATATTTCAAATGACAACCGTTTGAGTATTTAAAATGACAACCGTTTGAATATTTAAAACGACAACCGTTTGAATATTTCAAACTACAACCGTTTGAATATTTCAAACGACTTTGACATTTTAAATGTTTATCAGTATTCTAAATGTTGTGTAATGAGGTGTATGTACTGAGTGACCCTAGAAGGACAGTAACAGAGGGCCGGGCGTCACGTGACGGGCGGACAGCGACTCTCAACTGTCCGCCTGTCATCACTTCTGATGGATGACGGTTAGAATGGCTTCAGCAGGCGGGTGTGTGTATGGCGCGGAGCACGCCACGCTACAAGCCACGCTACAAGCCACGGTACAAGCCACGCTACAAGCCACCCAGCAAGCCACGCTGCAAGCCACGCTACAAGCCACGCTGCAAGCCACCCTACAAGCCACGCTACAAGCCAAGCTACAAGCCACGCTACAAGCCACGCTACAAGCCACGCTGCAAGCCACGCTACAAGCCACGCTGCAAGCCACGCTACAAGCCACGCTGCAAGCCACGCTACAAGCCACGCTGCAAGCCACGCTGCAAGCCACGCTACAAGCCACGCTGCAAGCCACGCTACAAGCCACGCTGCAAGCCACGCTACAAGCCACGCTGCAAGCCACGTTACAAGCCACGCTACAAGCCAAGCTACAAGCTACGCTACAAGCCACGTTACAAGTTATGCTACAAGCCACGCTGCAAGCTACGCTGCAAGCCACGCTACAAGCCACGTTACAAGCTATGCTACAAGCCACGCTACAAGCTATGCTGCAAGCCACGCTACAAGCTATGCTGCAAGCCACGCTACAAGCTATGCTGCAAGCCACGTTACAAGCTATGCTGCAAGCCACGCTACAAGCCACGCTGCAAGCCACGCTACAAGCCACGCTGCATAATATGCTGCAAGCCACGCTACAAGCCACGCTACAAGCCACGCTACAAGCCACGCTACAAGCCACGCTGCAAGCTATGCTGCAAGCCACGCTACAAGCCACGCTACAAGCTACGCTACAAGCTACGCTACAAGCCACGCTACAAGCCACGTTACAAGCTATGCTACAAGCCACGCTACAAGCTATGCTGCAAGCCACGCTACAAGCCACGTTACAAGCTATGCTACAAGCCACGCTACAAGCTATGCTGCAAGCCACGCTACAAGCTATGCTGCAAGCCACGCTACAAGCCACGCTACAAGCTATGCTACAAGCCACGCTACAAGCTATGATACAAGCCACGCTAAAAGCCATGCTACAAGCCACGCTACAAGCCACGCTTCAAGCCATGCTACAAGCCACGCCACAAGCCACGCTACAAGCCACACTACAAGCCACGCTTCAAGCTACGCTACAAGCCACGCTACAAGCCACGTTACAAGCTATGCTACAAGCCACGCTACAAGCTATGCTACAAGTCACGCTACAAGCTATGCTACAAGTCACGCTACAAGCCACGCTACAAGCTATGCTACAAGCCACGCTTCAAGCTATGCTACAAGTCACGCTACAAGCTATGCTACAAGTCACGCTACAAGCCACGCTACAAGCCACGTTACAAGCTATGCTACAAGCCACGCTTCAAGCTATGCTACAAGTCACGCTACAAGCCACGCTACAAGCTATGCTACAAGCCACGCTACAAGCTATGCTGCAAGCCACGCTACAAGCTATGCTGCAAGCCACGCTACAAGCCACGCTACAAGCTATGCTGCAAGCCACGCTGCAAGCTATGCTACAAGCCACGCTGCAAGCTATGCTACAAGCCACGCTACAAGCTATGCTACAAGCCACGCTGCAAGCTATGCTACAAGCCACGCTGCAAGCTATGCTACAAGCCACGCTGCAAACTATATTACAAGCCACGCTACAAGCTATGCTACAAGCCACGCTACAAGCTATGCTACAAGCCACGCTACAAGCTATGCTACAAGCCACGCTGCAAGCTATGCTACAAGCCACGCTGCAAACTATACTACAAGCCACGCTACAAGCTATGCTACAAGCCACGCTACAAGCTATGCTACAAGCCACGCTGCAAGCTATGCTACAAGCCACGCTACAAGCTATGCTACAAGCCACGCTGCAAGCTATGCTACAAGCCACGCTACAAGCCACGCTACAAGCCACGCTACAAACTATGCTACAAGCCACGCTGCAAGCTATGCTACAAGCCACGCTGCAAGCTATGCTGCAAGCCACGCTGCAAGCTATGCTACAAGCCACGCTACAAACTATACTACAAGCCACGCTGCAAGCTATGCTACAAGCCACGCTACAAGCTATGCTACAAGCCACGCTACAAACTATACTACAAGCCACGCTACAAGCTATGCTACAAGCCACGCTACAAACTATACTACAAGCCACGCTACAAGCTATGCTACAAGCCACGCTACAAGCTATGCTACAAGCCACGCTACAAACTATACTACAAGCCACGCTACAAGCTATGCTACAAGCCACGCTACAAACTATACTACAAGCCACGCTGCAAGCTATGCTACAAGCCACGCTACAAGCTATGCTACAAGCCACGCTGCAAGCTATGCTACAAGCCACGCTACAAACTATACTACAAGCCACGCTGCAAGCTATGCTACAAGCCACGCTACAAGCTATGCTACAAGCCACGCTGCAAGCTATGCTACAAGCCACGCTACAAGCTATGCTACAAGCCACGCTACAAGCCACGCTACAAGCTATGCTACAAGCCACGCTGCAAGCCAAGCATCAAGCCACGCTACAAGCCACGCTTCAAGCCACGCTGCAAGCCACGCTGCAAGCCACGCTACAAGCCACGCTACAAGCTATGCTGCAAGCCACGCTGCAAGCCACGCTACAGGCCACGCTACAAGCTATGCTACAAGCCACGCTGCAAGCCACGCTACAAACCACGCTGCAAGCCACGCTACAAGCCACGCTACAAGCTATGCTACAAGCCACGCTGCAAGCCACGCTACAAGCCACGCTACAAGCCACGCTACAAGCCAAGCTACAAGCCACGCTACAAGCCACGCTACAAGCCAAGCTACAAGCCAAGCTACAAGCCACGCTGCAAGCCACGCTACAAGCCACGCTACAAGCCACGCTGCAAGCCACGCTACAAGCCACGCTACAAGCCAAGCTACAAGCCAAGCTACAAGCCACGCTGCAAGCTATGCTACAAGCCACGCTACAAGCTATGCTACAAGCTATGCTACAAGCCACGCTACAAGCTATGCTACAAGCCACGCTGCAAACTATACTACAAGCCACGCTGCAAACTATACTACAAGCCACGCTACAAGCTATGCTACAAGCCACGCTACAAGCTATGCTACAAGCCACGCTGCAAGCTATGCTACAAGCCACGCTGCAAACTATACTACAAGCCACGCTACAAGCTATGCTACAAGCCACGCTGCAAGCTATGCTACAAGCCACGCTACAAACTATACTACAAGCCACGCTGCAAGCTATGCTACAAGCCACGCTACAAGCTATGCTACAAGCCACGCTACAAACTATACTACAAGCCACGCTACAAGCTATGCTACAAGCCACGCTACAAACTACTACAAGCCACGCTACAAGCTATGCTACAAGCCACGCTACAAGCTATGCTACAAGCCACGCTACAAACTATACTACAAGCCACGCTACAAGCTATGCTACAAGCCACGCTACAAGCTATGCTACAAGCCACGCTACAAACTATACTAGAAGCCACGCTACAAGCTATGCTACAAGCCACGCTACAAGCTATGCTACAAGCCACGCTACAAACTATACTACAAGCCACGCTACAAGCTATGCTACAAGCCACGCTATAAACTATACTACAAGCCACGCTACAAGCTATGCTACAAGCCAAGCTGCAAGCTATGCTACAAGCCACGCTACAAGCTATGCTACAAGCCACGCTGCAAGCTATGCTACAAGCCACGCTACAAACTATACTACAAGCCACGCTGCAAGCTATGCTACAAGCCACGCTACAAGCTATGCTACAAGCCACGCTGCAAGCTATGCTACAAGCCACGCTACAAGCTATGCTGCAAGCCACGCTACAAGCTATGCTGCAAGCCACGCTACAAGCCACGCTACAAGCTATGCTGCAAGCCACGCTGCAAGCTATGCTACAAGCCACGCTGCAAGCTATGCTACAAGCCACGCTACAAGCTATGCTACAAGCCACGCTGCAAGCTATGCTACAAGCCACGCTGCAAGCTATGCTACAAGCCACGCTGCAAACTATATTACAAGCCACGCTACAAGCTATGCTACAAGCCACGCTACAAGCTATGCTACAAGCCACGCTACAAGCTATGCTACAAGCCACGCTGCAAGCTATGCTACAAGCCACGCTGCAAACTATACTACAAGCCACGCTACAAGCTATGCTACAAGCCACGCTACAAGCTATGCTACAAGCCACGCTGCAAGCTATGCTACAAGCCACGCTACAAGCTATGCTACAAGCCACGCTACAAGCCACGCTACAAGCTATGCTACAAGCCACGCTGCAAGCTATGCTACAAGCCACGCTACAAGCTATGCTACAAGCCACGCTGCAAGCTATGCTACAAGCCACGCTACAAGCTATGCTACAAGCCACGCTACAAGCCACGCTACAAACTATACTACAAGCCACGCTACAAGTTATGCTACAAGCCACGCTACAAGCTATGCTACAAGCCACGCTACAAACTATACTAGAAGCCACGCTACAAGCCACGTTACAAGCTATGCTACAAGCCACGCTACAAGCTATGCTACAAGCCACGCTACAAGCCACGGTACAAGCTATGCTACAAGCCACGCTACAAGCTATGCTACAAGCCACGCTACAAACCACGCTACAAACCACGCTACAAACCACGCTACAAGCCACACTACAAACCACGCTACAAACCACGCTACAAGCCACACTACAAACCACGCTACAAACCACACTACAAACCACGCTACAAGCCACGCTACAAACCACACTACAAGCCAAGCTACAAGCCAAGCTACAAGCCAAGCTACAAGCCACGCTTCAAGCCAAGCTACAAGCCAAGCTACAAGCCAAGCTACAAGCCACGCTACAAGCCAAGCTACAAGCCAAGCTACAAGCCACGTTACAAGCCACGCTACAAACCACACTACAAACCACGCTACAAACCACATTACAAGCCACGCTACAAACCACATTACAAGCCACGCTACAAACCACGCTACAAACCACATTACAAACCACGCTACAAGCCACGCTACAAACCACACTACAAGCCAAGCTACAAGCCACGTTACAAGCCACGCTACAAACCACGCTACAAACCACGCTACAAACCACATTACAAGCCACGCTACAAGCCACGCTACAAACCACGCTACAAACCACATTACAAGCCACGCTACAAACCACGCTACAAACCACGCTACAAACCACACTACAAGCCACGCTACAAACCACGCTACAAACCACGCTACAAACCACATTACAAGCCACGCTACAAACCACGCTACAAACCACATTACAAGCCACGCTACAAGCCACGCTACAAACCACGCTATTGACGGGGCGGATCTTGTAGCCTAAGAAACACCTATTGACAGGACGCGCTTAAAATGTGTTAGAATATCTAGAAAATTTATTTTCAAAACATATTTACAACATTCAGAAAAAACTAGAATGAACCTAAACAAAACACAAGAAAATCGGAGAAAGTGAAGCCGGTTCCCCACTAGGCCAGACACAGCCTAAGAGACTGAATTTAATATCACTTGAAGGGTAGACAGCCAGAGGAAACATGATCCAGACATACGGAATACTTACATGCACAGTTTATAGAGTAAATATGGCAACGACTTAATTAGTCAGTCGACAGTTGCAAAAACGAAGCCTAGGAAGGTTATCTTGAGATGATTTCGGGGCTTAGTGTCCCCGCGGCCCGGTCCTCGACCAGGCCTCCACCCCCAGGAAGCAGCCCGTGACAGCTGACTAACACCCAGGTACCTATTTTACTGCTAGGTAACAGGGGCATAGGGTGAAAGAAACTCTGCCCATTGTTTCTCGCCGGCGCCTGGGATCGAGCCCAGGACCACAGGATCACAAGTCCAGCGTGCTGTCCGCTCGGCTGACCGGCTCCCTTTTTGCCAAATTTAGGATCTGTAAACCTGGGGCCAGATTCACGAAGCAGTTACGCAAAGACTTACGAACCTGTCCATCTTTTCTCAATCTTTGGCGGCTTTGGTTACAATTATTAAACAGTTAATGAGCTCGGAAGCACCAGGAGGCTGTTTATAACAATAACAACAGTTGATTGACAAGTTTTCATGCTTGTAAACTGTTTAATAAATGTAATTAAAAGCGACATTTAGCTTAGTGGTCTACGCGGAACAAACATCAGCAGAGGACTGCAGGTGACGGCTCAGGCTACCCACCCTCCGTCAAATTACCCTAAAGCTGCTGGTACTTATATCCCTCCAGCCCATAACAAGGGGGGTCAGGGGGGATGCCAGCTTCTCTACTCCCCCGTACACCTGGGCGGACCGGGGCGGCGTGACAGTGGTGGGGCGTGACGCTGAAGGTGACAGAGACCGGTTGTGGACGAGGGTGACAATGTAGGGGTGGTCAGTACGAGGTCAGGAACCGGTTAAGCCTAGGTCAGCACCGCTGGTTCAGACCACGAGGTCAAAGGTCATATCATGGGGTCAGCCGCCTCTCACACACTCGCTAATCACCTGTAAGTGGAACATTACTTATCAGTATATCTGACTCGGTGAACTGTTTGATCACACATCCTGTTGTTGCTGGCCTCCTGCAGCCTAGGGTCAGGTCAGGTCAGGTCAGGTCAGGTCAGTGAGGTACAAAGGCTCCCCTTATCGTAGCCACCCCAGACACCCCCCCGGGGTCACCCCAGAGACCACCTTGGGGTCCAGGGTCACCCCAGGGTCACCCCAGAGACCACCTTGGGGTCCAGGGTCACCCCAGGGTCACCCCAGGGTCACCCCAGAGACCACCTTGGGGTCCAGGGTCACCCCAGAGACCACCTTGGGGTCCAGGGTCACCCCAGGGTCACCCCAGAGACCACCTTGGGGTCCAGGGTCACCCCAGAGACCACCTTGGGGTCCAGGGTCACCCCAGGGTCACCCCAGAGACCACCTTGGGGTCCAGGGTCACCCCAGGGTCACCCCAGAGACCACCTTGGGGTCCAGGGTCACCCCAGGGTCACCCCAGAGACCACCTTGGGGTTCAGGGTCACCCCAGAGACCACCTTGGGGTCCAGGGTCACCCCAGGGTCACCCCAGAGACCACCTTGGGATCCAGGGTCACCCCAGGGTCACCCCAGAGACCACCTTGGGGTCCAGGGTCACCCCAGGGTCACCCCAGAGACCACCTTGGGGTCCAGGGTCACCCCAGGGTCACCCCAGAGACCACCTTGGGGTCCAGGGTCACCCCAGGGTCACCCCAGAGACCACCTTGGGGTCCAGGGTCACCCCAGGGTCACCCCAGAGACCACCTTGGGGTCCAGGGTCACCCCAGGGTCACCCCAGAGACCACCTTGGGGTCCAGGGTCACCCCAGGGTCACCCCAGAGACCACCTTGGGGTCCAGGGTCACCCCAGGGTCACCCCAGAGACCACCTTGGGGTCCAGGGTCACCCCAGGGTCACCCCAGAGACCACCTTGGGGTCCAGGGTCACCCCAGGGTCACCCCAGAGACCACCTTGGGGTCCAGGGTCACCCCAGGGTCACCCCAGAGACCACCTTGGGGTCCAGGGTCACCCCAGGGTCACCCCAGAGACCACCTTGGGGTCCAGGGTCACCCCAGGGTCACCCCAGAGACCACCTTGGGGTCCAGGGTCACCCCAGGGTCACCCCAGAGACCACCTTGGGGTCCAGGGTCACCCCAGGGTCACCCCAGAGACCACCTTGGGGTCCAGGGTCACCCCAGGGTCACCCCAGAGACCACCTTGGGGTCCAGGGCCACCCCAGGGTCACCCCAGAGACCACCTTGGGGTCCAGGGTCACCCCAGGGTCACCCCAGAGACCACCTTGGGGTCCAGGGTCACCCCAGGGTCACCCCAGAGACCACCTTGGGGTCCAGGGTCACCCCAGGGTCACCCCAGAGACCACCTTGGGGTCCAGGGTCACCCCAGGGTCACCCCAGAGACCACCTTGGGGTCCAGGGTCACCCCAGGGTCACCCCAGAGACCACCTTGGGGTCCAGGGTCACCCCAGGGTCACCCCAGAGACCACCTTGGGGTCCAGGGTCACCCCAGGGTCACCCCAGAGACCACCTTGGGGTCCAGGGCCACCCCAGGGTCACCCCAGAGACCAGGGGGGGGGACAGTGAGACCACTGGAACAAGTTATTATGACCAACAATGGCGGGTGATGAGGTCTCTGAGAGTTAGTTATGTCTTTTGTCTAGAGTAGGATGTTGTCCTCTCATGTGTCTCCAGGGGTGACGACCTCCCCCAGCACCCAGCACCACCAGGGCTGGCCCTCAGGGCTCCCAGCACCACCAGGGCTGGCCCTCAGGGCTCCCAGCACCACCAGGGCTGGCCCTCAGGGCTCCCAGCACCACCAGGGCCGGCCCTCAGGGCTCCCAGCACCACCAGGGCTGGCCCTCAGGGCTCCCAGCACCACCAGGGCTGGCCCTCAGGGCTCCCAGCACCACCAGGACCGGCCCTCAGGGCTCCCAGCACCACCAGGGCTGGCCCTCAGGGCTCCCAGCATCACCAGGGCTGGCCCTCAGGGCTCCCAGCACCCACCAGGGCCGGCCCTCAGGGCTCCCAGCACCACCAGGGCTGGCCCTCTGGGCTCCCAGCACCACCAGGGCTGGCCCTCAGGGCTCCCAGCACCACCAGGGCTGGCCCTCAGGGCTCCCAGCACCACCAGGGCCGGCCCTCAGGGCTCCCAGCACCACCAGGGCTGGCCCTCAGGGCTCCCAGCACCACCAGGGCCGGCCCTCAGGGCTCCCAGCACCACCAGGGCTTGCCCTCAGGGCTCCCAGCACCACCAGGGCCGGCCCTCAGGGCTCCCAGCACCACCAGGGCTGGCCCTCAGGGCTCCCAGCACCACCAGGGCTGGCCCTCAGGGCTCCCAGCACCACCAGGGCTGGCCCTCAGGGCTCCCAGCACCACCAGGGCCGGCCCTCTGGGCTCCCAGCACCACCAGGGCTGGCCCTCAGGGCTCCCAGCACCACCAGGGCTGGCCCTCAGGGCTCCCAGCACCACCAGGGCTGGCCCTCAGGGCTCCCAGCACCACCAGGGCCGGCCCTCTGGGCTCCCAGCACCACCAGGGCTGGCCCTCAGGGCTCCCAGCACCACCAGGGCTGGCCCTCAGGGCTCCCAGCACCACCAGGGCTGGGGTATACAGGCTGGGGCTGGCCCTCAGGGCTGGGAGTGGAATGGGATCGAACTTGCGTCTCTGGTCCCCCCCCAGACACTATTATTAACTGACTCATCATGATGAGTTCAAAGACTCACATTCCCTCCCATCACATAGTCTCAGTTTGACCACAATATGTCTGCCTGTCACCCCACATATGTGGACCCGGTGGGGGAGATTGTTGGTAGTGATTGGGCTCACAAGCGTGTTGTGACCAAACTTGTTCACCTTCTGTAATACTTATTTATTTATTTATTTTTATATATAAGAAGGTATATTCGGTGTATTTGTCTCCGCTGGGGATAGAACTCGGATTCGTAGGACTACGAATCCTGAGCGATGTTCACTCAGCCATCGGCCCCTGTGAGGGTGTTTGTGTGTGCTTGTGTGTGTGTGTGTGTGTGTGTGTGTGTGTGTGTGTGTGTGTGTGTGTGTGTGTGTGTGTGTGTGTGTGTGTGTGTGTGTGAGTGTGTGTGTTTACATACGAACTTGGCGTGAACAGGGTGCCAACTTCCTGACACTGGCCCACAAGGAGGCACCCCACACACACACACACACACCACACACCTTTCCTCTCCCCTGCACCTGAGACACGTCATGGTCCAGCGGCTCTAGGGGTGACCCAGGACACACACACACACACACACACACACACACACACACACACACACACACACACACACACACACACACACACACACACACACACACACACACACACACACACACACACACACACACACACACACACACACACACACACACACACACACACACACACACACACACACACACACACACACACACACACACACACACACACACACACACACACACCACACACACACACACACACACACACACACACACACACACAGGATGCAAAGTTGATGAGAAGAGTTGTGACAGATGAGGATTGCAGGATCCTCCAAGAGGACCTGAACAGATTGCAGAGATGGTCAGAGAAATGGCTACTAGAATTCAACACGAGCAAATGTAAAGTTATGGAAATGGGACTAGGAGATAGGAGACCAAAGGGACAGTACACAATGAAGGGGAACAGCCTACCTGTAACGACGCGTGAAAGAGACCTGGGGTGGACGTAACACCTAATCTATCTCCTGAGGCACATATTAATAGGATAACGACAGCAGCGTACTCTACACTGGCAAAAGTTAGAACATCATTCAGAAACCT